TTTGCTTGCCTAAATAATTTTGGGTGAAACTACAGATTCTTATTACATTTTGTCTTGCAATGCTAATTTCTTGCTTATACAAAACAGGTCTATGTTTAGAAAATAAATAATTTTAAATATACTCGTTAGCCTGCTGTGAGATGGTTTTGGAAAGTTCTCTAGTGATTGATTTATGCACAGATCATGGAAAATGACTTGTGTTGGTATTTGTACTTGTGTGCTCTGAAATGCCATCATTTTGTATTCTGCCTGGAACTTTTGAGACACAATAATGAATAGAAACAGCTGTCCCATGGCCTGCTGGGTCTGTATGTATATTGCAAGAGCTAGAATTTCTTTCCATCAGAATCATAAATCAGAAGCATAAAATCTGATTCTGAATCAGAAGCATAAAACCAACTCTGGTTCCAGGTATGTAATTAAACATTGTTTGACCTATGTTTGACCTAAAATACTGTATCTCCAGCTTAGGAGTAGGGATCTTAGTGTAACAGTCAGGTACCTTTGTCATGCCCTTTGAGACTTTTAATTACAGGCTGGTAAGGTTGAGGGAGGGGATGCTCCCCTCTCTTTAGCTCTGGAGAAACCCCACCTGGAGCATCCAGCTCTGGGCCCCCAGCACAGGGAGGACACAAACCTGCTGGAGCAGGTCCAGAGGAAGCCAAGATGCTCAGAGGGCTGGAGCACCTCTCCTGTGTGGAAACCTTGGAAATTTGAATTGTTCAGTCTGGGGAAGGCTCTGGAGAGACTTCATTGCAACCTTGAGGTATAAAAAGGGGACTTAAAAGAGAGAGAGACTTTTCCCCAAGGTCTTTAGTTACAAGACAAGAGTTAATGGTTTAAACTGAAAGAGAATAAGTTTGGACTGGAGATGGGGAAGAAGTTCTGTATAATAAGCATGGTGAGACACTGGACAGACTGCCCTGAGAAGCTGTGGATGTCCCATCACTGGAAGTGTTCAGGGCTGTGTTGGATGGGGCTTTGAGGGGCCTAATCTGGTTTAGGGCATGGCAGGAGGGTGATGCTTGAAGGTCCCTTCCAACCCAAACCATTCTGTGAAAAAATGAAAAACAAAAGAAGATATACAATCTTTTCTGTAAAGAATGATAATCTGCAGGTGAGAAAAAGCCTTACCTAACATAAGATTTTTTTATATAATGTACCAGTGATTTGCTGGTCTTAATGCCAGTCATATCCATGTGAATTTAGGTGCATTCATATCCTATCACTTGAGACTAGAACATTTTCCTTTGTGGTGTCTGTGTATTCTGTATTCTTTAGCCTTTTCCTCATTGTTGGTATGCACACAGCCTATAAACATGGGTTCTGTGGGTCACCATTTCAGAACAGAGCGTCTGCCCCTGCAGGTGTTTTCCTTCCTTTCCTAAGGAAGGAGATGCAATTCTATGCAAAGTACTTGTCCTGTCTTGACATTTCCCTTTTCTGCTGCTGTGAATCTCATCCTGATCTAATTAACATTCTTTGCCTTCTTTCACATAGTTTGTTCAATCTCTCAGGAAATCTCTCCTCTAATGGAAACTTATTTCAGCCTGATGCTCTTCCTTAAAGATAAGCTGTCACCTGGGCAGGTCACTTAAGGCCTAAGAACAATGAACAAATAAGTCTCCATTTAAGTTCTCTGCTCAGAATACATGAAGATTTTCTGGCCTGTCTACAGAGAACTGAATTGTGGCTATGTCCTAGACAGTCAAAGATACATCTTGCTTTATATACTGTCATTGGAGCAAAGAGTAACAAGAGTTCACTCCTTGCATCTTCTGAAGTGGGTGGAGACTTTCTAGCTACAACTCACAGGGCACAAGCTTACCCACAGCTAAATTGAAAATGTCAACAGCATGTCTGAAAATGTCTCAATGTGCCAAGAGCTCTGGTTTTGGCAAATATTTTTTCTTTATTATGTAATTAGCTTCTCTCAGGGGACAGAAATCAAGGGTAGATGTGAAGGTTTTTGTATAGGCTAAATTAGATGTGCATTGCAAGTAGTTTGCTTCCAGTGAATATTCTTCTATCATTTCTCACAGGACTGCTTACTGAGATAGGTCTGCACTAAGATTCAGAAGCTGCCAAATAAAATGTTTTGTTTTGTAGAAGTTTAATTGTAATAGACCCATGGACTATCGACAACCTGATGAATCTGAACAACAAAGTCTTTACTGTGAATACAATCATCACTCTTTTGGTGAACTTTGTCTTTAAATTGTGTGACAAATGGCCTTTACTGGGGAGCTTGAAAGGTAATGACAGTTCTGTAAACCAAGCTGTTGGCACAGTTTAAAAGCTACTCACATTCCAGCCATTCCTAATACATGATTGGATCAATTTTCTGTTGGCCTGCAAAAATCCAAACTATAACCTTAGAATTAAGAGTTATCAAACAGAGCAATGAGAAAAAGATAAAGTACCTGCAATAAGCACTAGTAAGAGATACTCTTGCAGAGTTAGCCCTTGCCACCTCTCCCTAGGAGAGGTATCAGGCTCCAGTATCCTCATGTCTTCCAAAGAACTCAGAGTTGTCACACTACAGATCTACACCAGGCAAACCAATCCTTCAGTGTCAGCATCACAGACCCTGATGGCTGGCAGTGGGAGGAAGCCTGTCAGAAATATTTCAAACCTGATTATGGAGAAGATGTTGCTTCAGAGCTTGTTTTATCTTGGCAGCTGACAAATTGACACGGGCCCTTCTGACTGTTGCAGTTGGCTGGGGGCTTGCTGATTCCAGGTGGTTTTCTGTTCAAGCCCAGGGGTTTATGGCTGGAGTGCCTCTTTTCAGTTTAAAGGAAAATGTGCATGTAGGTATTTTTGATCCACCCACAGGAAGCAGAGACTGATATCCTATAGCAGCTGATGCACAAGTGCACCTTCTTTACTCCAATATTTTTCTAAGAATCAGTTTCCATCCTAGTACTATTATTTCTGCAGTTCTTTGCATTCTTTTCTGATATATTTTCTCTATTCCACTTTATGGAGTTTCCTCTTTGTTTTAAAAATTGACAGTTTTCTGATCTTATTTTGCATACTAAACACTAATAAAACAGGGGAAGTTTGGTTATTATATCCATGCTTTCCAGTTTGGACTACTTGTCACTGAGGTTCTCCTTTGCTCTGTTGATTACTGGATTAATTCTTGGCTGTACGTTTTGAATAGTTTATAATAATTGCATATTCTGATTTTTTTATGTAGTTATCTTAGCATAAGAATCCCACATTTTGGCAGCTGCATTTGAATGGAAGTAGAAAGGCTTTCTGCAGTAAACACTGCAGAGTGTCTGTGCTAGGTTTTTATAAATCTCCTAATTCTCAATTGCAATGTTTCTTGCTCTGTCACTGATTGAGGATGAAAACCAGTCTTATTATCCATGTTTGTCCTGAATCATTAGCTCTGACTTTAGGAGTACAGGATTTATTAAAGCATGTTACATACTTCCCTCCTGCAGCACCTATATAGCAAATGGCATACTCAACTCTCCTCATAAAAACATGTAAGCAGAAATTGAGCTTGTAAATTGAATAATTCACTCCAGGATGGATCACAAGTTGACTGTTATGGAGGGATATAAAGGCAATGTAGTGCTGTGTTTGCGTACTAAATTTATACAAATATTTGATTTTGTGCAGCAGTAGCATCTGAGTTTCTCCTTTTGAAAGCACATTATAAAATCATTTATGAACACTTGGTTTGTGATGGAAAGAGAAAGCCTACATGGAAGAAGTCAGTGAAAGCAGTGTGTGCTGTGGTATTTTCTGAGACCCCGACAAAGGGAGGAAATGATGAATCTGACTTCATGTTCTTAGAAGGCTAATTTATTATTTTAAGATACTATAATATATTAAAGAATGCTATACTAAAACTATACTAAACTATACTAAAAAATAAAAAAATATACTGACAGCTAAATAATAATGATGAAAAACTCAAGACTCTCTCCAGAGTCCTGACACAGCCTGGTGGTGATTGGTCATTAAGTAAAACAATTCACATGAAACCAATGATCAATCACCTGTTGGTAAACAATGTCTAAACACATTCCAAAGTAGCAAAACACAGAAGAAGCAATTCAAATCATTATTGTTTTCATTTTTCTCTTAAGCCTTCTCAGCTTCCCAGGAGAAAATCCTGGGCAAAGAGATTTTTCAGAAAATATAACAGTAACAGTGTGCCATTGAGCTTTATTATAAAATTATTAAAGCACATCCAGAGGTTTTTGAATGCTCTATGTAGCTAGATTTAAGCATGTATTTTGATTTTGAATGTTAATTAGTGACAAATTTTACCTAAGACAGAACTTGTTCCAAGTGCAAAATAAAATTACTCTTCATCTGTGTAAAATATACGGCAGAATTTATAATCATGTTGTTTCTGAATCTTTCCAGTTTGCTGAAAATAAGAGCATTGTTCTGCTATACTTCTGTGCCATCAGCAACTCTTTGAATGTCTTACATTGCTAAGTCCCAACACATGCCTAAAAGCATTGTTCAAATGGTATTTTGAGGGAAGTAGCCTAACATCTTCATGGGAACCCATTCCTCTCCCGGCTTCAGAAATGTTACCTTTGTTCCTGAAGTGCATATGTAGTTTCTCTTTAGGCATCATTTACAGTGAAAGTGTTTTATCCTTTTGGTATATTATCAGTGTGTTTCCTTTAATACCTTGCATTTTTGTGGGCCAGTGTTAACATATGCAGGCCATCCTCTTATACCTCTGGTACATTCTCTGAAACAGAAATGCAGAAGAGTTGAAGGTTTGTATTTTAATGATTATCTGACCAAACCAAGTGAACTCCCAATCTGCAATGCTGCTTTGGTCAAGTGTCGACATCCTGTCCATGGCACAGGATGGTGCCTCCAGCCTGCAGAAGCGCTGAGTAGCTTCCATTCCCTGGTAACATTTGTACTCCAGTTCAGATGTGACACTTAGGAAGTTCCAGCTGGTCACACTGAATAATTTTTTTCTCCTTCTGTCTTCAAAAATGCTTTAGGTAGAGGAGCTGATGATGGCTATGGAGAAGGTCAAGCAGGAGCTGGAGTCAATGAAAGCAAAATTGTCCTCTACACAACAGTCTTTGGCTGAGAAGGAAACCCATTTGACCAACCTACGAGCTGAAAGAAGGAAACATTTGGAGGAGGTCCTGGAAATGAAGTAAGTTTGAAGTTCTTGTATTATTTGTAGGCTTTTTTTATTGATGTCTCTGCATTCCTTTCTGATCCTTGTTGTTCTAAAGACAGCCTGCATGCATATCTGCATGCACAGGTCTCTGCAGATAGCAGCTATCTGTAATGAGTCAAGCCTTCAGAGGTGACACCTGACCAGGGATTACTGACATCACTTTCACACTTCCTCTAGAGCTCAAAAGCATTTCTTCCTTTTGATTGTTTACAGTAGACTTCTATTATTTGCACAATAGCATCTTCAAAGATGCTAAGCAATTATTAGGACTCAATTGTTCTATGTCTAATTAATGTACCAAATCTTGCTTTGAGCAGCTTATAACTGCTTCAAGGTAAGGTGCAAGGCAGTGTAGCAAATGACCAAAAAAAAGAGGGAGAAGATAAACATAATATCAGGTGTTTGTAATGTTAAAGTCACACTGCAGATTTCTGGTCTGCTCAAGTATTTTTCAAACTCAATTCAGATGATTCATTAGCATTGCAGCAGTTTGAAGTTCTCTATCAGTCAAACTTTTCTAAACATCCTTACTCAAGGAAGCCTGGATAAAACCAAGCTTTGAGGAGGTGGGGAGAAGAGAGGGATTAGACTTCCCAGGCTTAAATACTTCCTAATTTCTGACTGTACATTACAGATAAATAGTTATCCTTGGTTTAGGGAGACATGAATCCATTTAGTGCAATGATGGATAGTGCTGCCAGCAGTTCATTAGAAGCACTTTCAGTTGTTTAGCCAGCCCTGAAGAGAAGGAACATTTTTATTGGCAGGACTAGCAGTGGTTCCTCCACTGTGGTTTTGTGAGCCATTATTTATTTATTTAACTATTCTACACTGGTCTCTTTCCTTTCCTTTTTTTTTTTTTTTAATGAAAGGATAGAAAAACAGCTGTTACAAAATGGAAAGAGGTGGCTTAGATCTTGAAACTTTTAACTTAGTACTGCTGTATAAAGTAGGCCAAGCCCTCCCCAGCTTCATATTCAGCTACAACAGTTTGATCTAGACCTGGCATAGGGATGTTGGAAGACTGCAGTACTTAAAAGCCACACTTTTTAATAAAAAAATTTATTGAGCTATAAATTTGACTGCCTTGAGAGTTGCCGTATGGGGGGATGGGAAGAATAGCTCTTTAGGTGATGTGGGAATCCAAAGCAACTGGAGATGTATCCCATTTCCAATCACTTGAGAGTACTTTCTTCTGCCAAACTGCTCTGCCAAACCTTCTCATTAAAATCTACACTCAGTGTAGTGTATATCCTGAAATGTATTTGGAATTGTGCAGATCCTTTAATATAACTACTCACTTCTGAATGATGACCTCTCTTACCTGTGTAAGTTATTGTTGGAAGGTTTTTGCACTGAAATGTGGTATCAGGTACTGCATGAGCTGGTAGATCCATTGTACCTCAGAAGGAAGAAGAACACTGGAGAGAATGGTAATGCTGTCAGCACATGGAGAGAAAGATGGAAAAAGCATTACATTTGTCTAGTTAACTAGCTGAGCATGTTTTAGTCATAGCTGGTCTGTCTTAAAGTTCTGTAAAGCTGCCAAAGGCATCCAAACTTCAAAAACTCACCCTCACCATGAGGCTCTGTTGCAAACAAGTCTCGACTGAGGACTCCCAGTCAATTACTATCTTATTTTATATACAGAAAGTATATTCTTTGTTGCCCTGCTTTCCCAGCCTGTGTCTTTTATGAAAAGCACTCATTTGTTTTCTAGTTTTGCAAAAAGTTTCTCATGTTGTTGAAGTATTTGCTGAAAAATGTCAGTAATTGAATGAGTGGTCAGTTTTGTGAAGCAATTAGCTGCTTTTGGAGTTCTTATGGAGGAAAAATAGTTGTTGTACAGGTAGTGTTCCAGGGGATGCTGAAGCAATATTGTTTCCTATGTCCTAGGGCATGCTTCAGTGGGAAGAGTTTGAGGTGCTCAAAAGCAGCACTGATTAAATTTGAGATTTGTTAGGGGTGTAGATTTAACAACCTAGGCCCTGCAGTCAGCTAATGGGGCTGGGGAGCAGACAAGAAAAATAGCTTAGGAAATGCTGCTTTAGGAGATTCCAGATATGGAGTGAAAGAGAGTGTTAAAGCAACAAGGGGACTCCAGAAAATTACCTCTGGGTTTTAATAGGAAGTTGTTAGATATAATGCTAGTGAAAATACATGTTTAAAATACTGGTTTTTAGAGTAGAACTTGTGTTTACTACTGACTCTGTAACCCTGAGAAGATCATTTCACACTCCTTAGGGAATAGTGTGGCACTAGAATAGCTCAAGTGTGAAATATTCCAAGCAAGAAATTTCACTCCTTGAAGAAATACTATGTATTTTGAAGCTCTCTTCCTTTAAGTCTTAATATTTTCATTTTCTTTAAAAAAACTTTATTGCGAATAATTATGAGAGAGGCAGATAATGGTCTCTATTTATATCACCAAACCTGATCTACTGTAGAGAGATACTGGTGAACTGCTAGGATTTTTGTTTTGTTATGTTTTCTTTAAGAAGTTCTAATGTTTCCATCATTCACAGCAAATCTTTTAAATTAGGCAGGAATAAAGTGCTGTCTACAGAGAAATCTCTGTTCTTTGTCCCATAAAAACCTGCTTAGGCTGAGCTGAGTTATAAACTGTTGAAAATCACCAGTTTTACTTTCTTTTTTTTTTCCCCTGGTGTTGTCAGCAAATTTTGGCAGTGTGTGAAAATAACCAAGCACAAACAGTCTAATCTGAGGCCGAGCTCTTGCAGTTGCCAAATGTGCAGCAATGGACACTGGACTCACAGGGAAAGGGAACAGACACTGTGTCTGCATGTTTGTTTTGGTTTTTTTTTTTTTACTAGACAGGCCCTTTGTTATGGTCAGAAGGACCAGAAGGGTCTTCCTAGTCATGTGCTTCAGGGTTGAAAAGTCCCAGTTGGGGCATTTCTCAAGGTGTTCTTTCAGACCTGGAGAATGAGCCAATAGCCCTTTCCTGAATTATGCCTTCTCCTGCTAATTGCAATTGCTGCTAGCCCTATAATTCAAGGTATGCAGACTTACATAACATAGTTGGCCCTTCAGAGTTGAATCTTTCATCCTGCTGGCTCACAACACAGAAGGATTATTACTTCTCTGAGAATAATTTACTATCCTCTTGTTTCTTGAAAAATAATCAGAGATCTTGCAGATGAATTGTTAGCACATAAAATAATTTATGTTTCAAAATCAAGCTGTCAGAAAGCATATTTTGATTTCTCGTCTGACTGTACATGATTAGTAATGTACAAAAGCAATACTTTTGAGTATTTATCACAGTAGTTCTTAATGTCATAAATTCATCCCACAGATAGTGTTTCTTTGATACAGATGGAGGCAGTGATCAGAAATGAGCCAGGTCTGTGTAGCTCAATGAGGCTGTTTGTTGTGTGCTTTCCTTTATTCATCTCAGAGCTGGAAGGCTTCTGAGAGCTTCAGAGGGTCACTCATAAAAATGAGATGCCAGCCTAGGCAGGGCTGTGCAGGAAGACCGCTCACCCCTATCTCTGCTACAGTTTCCCTGCATGGTATGACTTAGAAATACTTGATAGATGAAGAAGTCCACATCTTCATTTTCTGGCTCTCAGATAAGAAAAAATACAAGGGCATTCACATGACCACTCACAACTAAAAATGAAGTCAGTTGGAAGATGAGGTTGTTTATCTTGTGAAAAGTTCATCTTCCCAGCAATAAAGCAGCATTGTCTGGAGGTATGAGTATGAAGCTAAAGTTGAAAGTAATCCAAAAGAAACTGATTAATTGACACAGTTTATTTGCCAGAAAAGTAAAATCAGTTGATCCACAATGAGGTGTGAGGTAATTTCAAGCCCTGCAAACAGTTTAACCAAACAAAAATACTTCAGGTTCTGTACACCCATGGTGAACATAACTAAAAAAAAAGAAAATATCAATGTCCACCCAGCAATAACCTGTTGGCTCATCCACACCTGTCTTCTTGGAAATTAAGGAATTTCCTGGTCTTCAAAGGAGTTATGGTTTGTGTATATGGAATAACAACACCCTCCAGAGCAGATGAACAGATGTCTCTGTAGTTTGAGATCCCTTTGGGTTTGTTGCCAGTGCCACAAAGCAGCAGCACGTGGCTGTCACATCAGCAAGGTGTGGCTTTCTAGGCCACATCACACTGAGCTGGGCTTACAGGCTTGGGGTCATTGGTGTGTCAGATATCACCTGATGACAGCAGTGGTACCTGAACTTGTCCTGTGATTGCTTCATGTGCACTTAAATAAGCTGCAGTCCCACAGGGGGCACTCTGTGTCTGTAGGATTCACTGTCTGGGGCTGAACAAGTGCATCCTTGTCAGTGCCTTTTTCCTTCTGTCAGCTTTGGAATTTTCTTTTTAATTTTAATTTTCAGGGCACACAGGTAAAATTAACATGCTGGCATCCTGTTACCGTTGTTCTGTCCTTTTCAACTTTGTTTTGTCCTTTTCAAGCATAAAATATTTAATCATATATGTGTTTATTTTAATTCTATATTGTCACCCCATTAAATTGTAACTACTTCAGTTGAAAGAGTCTGAAATATGAAAAATAATCCATTTCTAATTACTAAGCAATACAGGCCTCATGTTTAAATAATTCAAAATAGACTGACCTTGGAACTGCTGTTAATCTCCAAGTGGATGTTACAGAATCCAATGGGAAAGCTGAAATACATCATGCAGATCTATTGTGTGTCCTTTGAGGCTCAAGTTTATTGAAAGATCTTGGTTACCTGCAAATTTGGTCTCTTTTGCTACTATTTTTTTAAATTCAGGTGAAAACTTGAGAGAAAACATAATATCCTGCACACTTTTTTTTCTCTTGGCAATTAAGGAATGAGTCCTTTTATCCTTCCTGTCCTCCTGTGTTGTCCATGAGCCTTCTGAGCACTCTGAGACTGGAATGGCCTGCCTGGGTAGGTGGTGGAGTCACCATCCCTGGGTGTGTTTAACAAAGGA